TTATATGCCTTGGTGTTGTCCTCCTTGGGTCCCTTGTGTTGGGAGATCTGTGGATTTCCAAGGTCTGAGAGACCATTTCCTCCCCCAGTTTGGGGAAGTTTTCAGTAATTATTTCTTCAAAGACATTTTCTGTTCCTTTTTCTCTCTCTTCTTCTGGTACCCCTATAATGTGAATATTGTTCCATTTGGATTGGTCACACAGTTCTCTTAATATTCTTTCATTCCTGGAGATCCTTTCATCTCTCTCTGCCTCAGCTTCTCTGTATTCCTGTTCTCTGATTTCTATTCCATTAACAGTCTCTTCCACCTCATCCAGTCTGCTCTTAAGTCCTTCCATTGTTTGTTTCATTTCTGTTATCTCTCTCCTGAATTCATCTCTTAGCTCTTGAATATTTCTCTGTAGGTCCCTCATCATGCTTATGACTTTTATTTTGAATTCTTTTTCAGGAGGATCGGTGATTTCAGTCTCACCAAGCCCTCTCTCTGGATTTTGTACTGAACAAGGTTCTTCTGCCTTTTCATGGTGATGGGAGTGGTCACTGGAGAGTGGCATGTGTGTTGGCTGGGAAAACGAAGTCCCTTCCTGCTTGCTGGTCGCCTTGCCTGTCTCAGCTCTCTGTGCTGGTTACCCACACACAGGGAGCAGCCTCTGGTTAATCCCCTAAACTGCTGTGAGTGGGGATTGGCCTAGGGCACTAGTGGGGGTTGCAGGCGAACTGCATGTGTTCTGCTGCAAGAACAGAGCCCGCCGTGCCTTCTGGACTCTGCACTTGTCTCCACTGTCTGTGCCAGTCAACCACATGCAGGGAGCTGCCTCTGGGTCTGGGCTGGTTAGCTGTGTGCAGGGAGAAGCCTCTGTGTTAAGCTGTGTAGTTGCTGTAGGGGGGACTGCTCCCTGGCTGTTCTGCAGCAATGGCAGGTCAGCCAGTTTGCTTGCAGTGCCATTGAGGGGGAAGGAACGGCAGGCTGCTTATCGCCGTGAGGGTCCTTGGAGCTGCATTGCCATGCAAGGGGTTAAGGCACCTGAAATTCCTTAAAGTTCCCAGCCTGCTGGGCTGAGTGTGCCAGGACAATTTTTCCACCTGTTAAATCCTTTTCCCTTCAAGACTTTTAAAGCGCCTGCTTTTCTTTTGTCCCAGGGTAGCTGGGTGTGGGAACCTGTTCTCAGTCTTAGTCTCGGATTTTGCTTTTCTGCTCATCTTAATATCCAGAGCACCATGCAATGTGTGTCTGTGCTCCTGAGGCAGATTACTAGGGCTGGTTGTTTAGCAGTCCTATGTTTCCACTCCCTCCCTACTCTGATTCTTTTTCTCCCGCTGATGAGCTGGGGTGGGGTAGTGCTTGGGTCCTGCTGGGTCACAGCTTTGTATCTTACCCTTTTCCGTGGGATGCCAAGTTCTCGCAGATGTAGGTGTAGCCTGGCTGTTGTACTGTATCTTCTGATCACTCTTTTAGGAATAGTTGTATTTGCTGTATTTTCAAAATATATATGGTTTTGGGAGATTTCTGCCACCGTACTCATGCTGCCATATTTTTTCATAAGAAGCTTTTAAATAGGAATTAAATTTCTTCAATAGATTCTGGACTGTTTATGCTGCTTCTTTTTGAGGTGAGTTTTGGCAGTATTACTCCTCTAAGGAAGTCATCCATTTCACCTAAGCTGTTGAAGTTGTTTAATGAGTTATTTGTAGTATTCTCTATTCTTTTAATATCTGTAAGGAATGCAGTTATGTCCCTGCTTTCATTCCAGTTAATTATAATTTGTCTCTTTTACTTTTTCTTAGTCTGACTAGAGATTTACTAATTTTATTGATCTTTTCAAAAAAACAGCTTTTAGTTCACTGATTTTCTGTATTGTTTTTCCCTTCTCAATCTGATTTTGCTTTTGATTTTATTATTTCCTTCATACTACTTGCTCTGGATTGAATTTGCTCTTCCTTTACCAGTTTCTTAAGGTGGGAACTTAGATCATTGACAAGTCTTTTTTCTTTCTAATATAAACATTAAAGGTTATAAATTTCTCTCTACTGCTTTTACTATTTCCTACAAACTTTGAGATGCTCTGTTTCCATTATCAATTAATTAAAAATATTTTCTCATTTCTCGTCATTGCCTCCTTGACACTCAGGGTTATTTAGAAGTGTACTGTTGTTTCATTTCCAGGAATCTGTGGATAGTCCAGAAATCTTTTTTATTGATCTCTAATTTAAACCTATTTTGGTCTGAATACATACTTCATGTAATTTTTTTTTATTATTTTAACTTGTTAGTTCTTTTTTTATGACTGAGATCTGGTCTACCTTGGTAAAAGTTCCAGGTGCACTTGAAAATTATATGCATTCTGCTGTTGATGGGGGAACGTTCTATAAGTGTCAATGGGGTCAAGTAGACTGCTCTGTTAGTTCCAGTCTTCTATCTCCTTATTGATTTTTAGTCTAAATGTGTCAATTTCTATCAAAATAGTTCTAGACACGCAGAAAAACTGCAAACGCAGTACAGGGTTTCCATATAAGCCTTGCCCAGTTCCCCTTTTGTCTTACATTAGCATGATAGATTTGTCACAATTGACGAACCAACATTGATAACATAAAATCCACACTTCATTCAGATTTCCTTAGTTTATAAGCCTACAGTTTTTTTCTTCGTTACAGAACCCCATCGAGGATATCACATCAGATTTAATCACCATGCCTGTCGCTGCCTGTTGGCTGTCCTGACAGTCACTTGTACTACAGGTTGGGTGTTTTGCAGATGATGTTCTCAAATGGAATCTGTCTTACGTTGTTCTCATGACCACGGGTCTTTGAAAGGAAGCCCACACTTTCTTTATGTCTGGTTTTGATAAACTCCATGCAAGGGATCTGCCCCAGAGTAGGAAACCAGATGGACTCTGAGGCCTTGCATGCTGGAGACGCGCCTTTCTTGCCCTTATATATCAATGATCAAAAACAGTACTTCAGGGTTACAACCCCACCTCTTGTTTTTCAGTATTTATTTAGCTTTATAAATGAGATGTCTGGCAATCTGATTTGCTTTGCTGTTAACCCATTGTTTCTTATCAAAATACTTTTAAGATTTAGATTTACCCTTTATCCTTGGGATTCAGAGATCTCATCAGAGTAAGGCTAAGATCTGATAGTGCCCCCACCCACCCCTCCCTGCTTTAATTTAATCTTGCCTAGTATTGAGGCAGGTAATAGAGGGATGCAGGTAGATAGAGTTCAGGGCCCCTCTAAGGTTCAAAAAGCTCCAATCAAACTCAGCCACTCAAAAAGTGCACTTAGTTATTAGACAGACCTCACCGCTGATTGGTTATACCCTGTGCAAACAAAGCATTGTACTTTCAACCAATCAAGAGTAGGTTGTGATGTCATCAGTTCAGTTCTGTATTTGGTCCAGGGAAGGTGGGACTTCTTCCTCTCAGGAAGCAGTATAAATCCCAGACTCCACAGCCCTCAGGGTTATCTTCCCTTGGAGCCCCTCCTGAGTAGCAGCGGCTTTCTCTTTTCACTCATTAAAAGAGCTTTGCTGGTTGCTTCATACTCATCTCCTACCTTCATTCTTCATCGCCTCCAAGACACAATCCTGGGAAAAAGCAGTGTTCTCAGCTGGTAAAAGTATTTGATAAACCTTTGTGGTACAAAGACAAGTTCCTTCTTCTCAGAAATTTTCTTCTATTATTTCTTTTATTGTTGAATCTTCTCTGGTTGCTCTAAGTTGTGCAACTATATTTTGTTTTCTCTTCCATTTGCAAGCATGTATCCTTTTTCTCAGGTCTATTCCTTTCTCAAGTCAGGGTAGTAGATATAAACCTCACAGCACCACTTCATGTGGTTTTAAACACTTTAAGATATAGTGTAACTGACTTGAAGCCTGAGTAGCAAGACGACAGTCCTGCACCGTTTAATACTGGAAGTTATTGGTTATATTCTTCGAAATACAACTTACTGGGGAAGACACAGACACACTCCAAATGGCAGGCACAATCTCAGAATTACAATGTAGGGGAAGCAGTACTGCCACACTGGCTTCCTATTACCATTAATCAAAGATTAAACAAATCAGGAATCAAGATCAGGAATTTGGGAAGTAGTATGATTGTGCTCAGTATGCTAAAAACCAAACTTATACCATTAAAAGTAAATCCAGAAAACCCTGGACGGCTGACATTTTCATATGCTGAGAGTAGTACTCCCCCTTCTTGCCCTCTGGCTTACAGGTTGGATCCACAAGAAAATACAAATTCTAATCTTTAAACCATACACTCCTAGAACACTTACATATTCATACCTCTTCAAATTCTCATGCTCCAGGGAACAATTCGAAAACTCTGACAACTAGTAAGAAAATTAGTATTGGACATAAACTGTAAATGATATACAAATATCAGATGGCTGGTTCAGGGGCACAAACATGGGAAAAACAGACTATATTTTTAATTGAAAAACTTAGCACAAATTTTTCCTTAATATCTCAAGCCATCAGCCCATCCATTCATGAACTGCAGTGCCCTCAGATTGGTGAACCACCCCACTCCCCCCTCAAAAGAAAACCAATCTGAAGCCTCAAGTTAGCATGTGTAGGGTAGACTCACAAGACGGAAAGATTCCCTGAATCACACACAGAGGAGTGGGGCCCACCAACAAGGAGGATGCCTATTTTCAATTTCTGTAAGCAAGAAATAAGCTTCTCTTACGTTTCAGCATTACATGTTCTTCATTTATTACAGTACTTACGATAGCAGCATTTTCATAACTACTATAAAAACCTGTAACTAGAATCCAAATATTGCCAATAGAGTTCACCAAGTTATATTTTTCAACTGCATCCCTGTGTATTGCACTCATAGAGCTAACTCAAGAATTTATATAGCAGAAAGATTCAGCACCTGAAACTCAATAATACTGTAGTTTATTAACTGACATCTTAATCCTTAGCTTTTAAAATATCTAGAATCAAAACAAAATGGCTCATTTTTGTAAGGTAAGAGGAAAGCTTACGTTGGCCGTCGTGTCTCAAGTAAAGTCAGCAATATCTGGATTGCACTGACTATGGCTGATTCATTTTTCTCCTTGTGGAAAATATTTGATAGAAGCTGCTCTATAATTTCTTGTCTAGGGAAACAAATGGAAGATCAAATGCTAATTGTAACATTATTCAACAGTAACAACTTCAGAGAAAAAGATCATGGTACCAGTAAGACAAGTTTTACACAACAGTTCAACCTCACTTGGACATACTTGTTTTATTTAGTAATATTTTATTTTTAGTACATTTGTTAAAGTAGGCAAGTGCTACTTATTATAAATGTAGCTCTCCCATTTTTATATTCCTACCTCCTTCCCTCAGCAACATCATCTGGGTCTGCTTGTCTTTGAGAGCCAACAAATATTTCAGGACTGGAAATCACCCTCCCACTCAGACTAGGGTGATGGTGGTGGTGGTTGGGTTGGAGGTGGTATTAAGACTTAGAACCCTTCATCCCACAAATTTTTCAAATGGCTGATTAGAAACCATAAATATTTTCCCACAAAGGCATTAATATATAATTAACAGAGATCTAAAATAGGTAAAAGAGAAGATCAACTGCTGCATTTTACCCTATAATTAAAATTTAGTAAATCAAAATAATATGATGGCAATGAAATGGATTTGCCTGAACTACTGCCCAAAAAGTATTCTTTGCAGGTTCTTCCCATTACACTTCACCCACACATATGCAAGTTCACAACTAATATAAGACATAAGGGTAACCTCTTAGGTAAATTTATATGGACATTCTCAAGGAAAAGCTGTTTCTTGAGATCTTAGTAACTTTCACAATCCACATGGATTAAGAAATGGGCTCTCCCTTATAATGTGACAAACAGCCGGGTCATCCCTGTTGCTCCCCTGAGATACCATGCATCCCACGGTATGGATGTGCTCCCTGCATCCGAACACCAACTCCCCTGGCCAGGCCAGAGCAGCAAGGCGGACATGATCTCTATTCAGGGAGGCAAATAAAAACTGGTATATAACCTGACTTTAGAGGATCCCCTCACAGGAAGTAGCTTTCAAGTACTCTCAGACGAGCATTAAATTGTTTGTGAGATCCCTACCCAAAACAGTGAAAGTCATTCAACAAACAGCAGCCTATAGAATAAATATTAGTTTGGGGATTGAGTTCTGGAAAACAGATGGCTTTCTGACAGTATACATGTATATTCTTCAAATTAACAGCCTCAGCTATGGCATCTAACAGCAATGCATTCAGGCATAGTGTTCTTATTTGTCAGAGAGCAGTATCATACTCTCGAAGATACTGATGCCTGAAGCGAGTGGCTAGCAAAAAGGCCCACACTTTTTCATGGATGCATCAAATTGGAAGTCTACTGCAGGCATGAAAGCATTCTATGAGTGGACAAAAATGACAGAGTAACCAGCAAAAGTCTGATGGTCAAGATGCAACACAGTAGCTGAGCCATATTCTGAGCCTTATCTAAACATACAAGTATCACCAAGTACAGAAAAAAATCATAAACTGAAGAACTGGGCTCATCAAACACAACAAAAGGAATGCCTTCAGATTCTTTAAATAATGAGTTAATTTACATGCAATAGACAATATATTGACTGACACATTTTAAAACACAGAGTTCTTAGATGAGCATCAGTACACACAGAACATGAGCTGTTTTATTCATGAAGCCATCCAAGGTTATCACCCATGACTCTGAGACAAGGCTTACTTCTGTTTTGGATTTTTATCTGGGCAGGCAGAGGAAAGACTCCCTTCCATACTCTAACCAGCTCAAGTGGGATCAAGCTCTAATTCATTCTAAGCTCATTAGTATCAACAATTAAGAGCTGCACAATCCAACCCCCCCAACACAGTTTCTAAAGGAACTTTGGAACTTCAAAATTCTCCACACAGCCACTAAACGGACTACATTCAATTTAAGTCCAGATTGCCTCCCAAGCTAATCTTCAATATTTAACACTGCAGCCTGTATTCTTAGAACCCATTTGGTACCCCCACTCACCTTAACCTTAGCTCATTTCAAACTTTTCCTTAAGTGCTAGCCTACACTTACAAACACAGTGTTTATATATACAGTGACACCCAACCTACGGCCTGTTTGGCATTACAGTATAAAGAGTTAACTCATCTGTTTACATACTTTGTATTGCCAGATTGGCCTAATAATATAATGTTATTAGATAGTAATTTATCAGGTATATACAATATTAGATATTATGTGATAACATATCAAATATATACAAGATGCTATGATGATTAATAAAAGTTTACTAAGCTAAGAAGCCTTCTATCACTGTATTTTCTCAATCAAAAAATACTAAAAGAACCACCATAATGTGGCAGCATGTCTGATAAAAGGTGCTGATTCTCAAGAAGAGTGTGGGACACACAATTTTAGAGTATGTCTCCCCACTACTAAGTGCAGTGAAGGTTAACTTGGCAACATGATGAAGACCCCTCAGTCATCAGGTCCATGGGCATTTGAAGAAATTCACTCCTAACATTTAATGATGTCAGTTCTGAGCATGCACCTGTCTACACTGAATTACACACAGCTGCCTGATTCGGAACTAGTCACACAGCCTGAAATGTAACAGCCAGTACACACACAGGCTCCGATGGCCAGACCCCACATTTGGTCCAAAGAGATGGTATGACCAGAGGGCCACACTGGCGCTGAAGAACCGAGTGATGACTCCCGTCAACCTGACATGTAGGGTGAACTCTAACATTCAACTGTCCGGGACAGGAGTCATTCACCATATGTAGCCACTAAACACTTAAAATGCTAACTCTTGTGACTTGACCTGTCCTAAGTATAAAATAGCACTGGGTTTCCAAAACTTTGTACAAGGAGAAGAATTAGAAGATCTCAGTAATTTTTTAAATGAACTTAGGTTGAAATATTATTTTGTAACTATTAAGTGAAATTAATAATTATTAAAATTAATTTCACCTATTTTTTACTTTAATGTGGCTACTAGAAAATTTATAATTATGTGTGACTTCTACGAGCACTGCCATCAACCATATGAAATTCCTGAGAGCCTACATTTTTTTTAAACCTACTCAAATGGCAATTTTGCATGGTTCAACCCAATACTACAATGATTAGGATTCGAGTGTGGAATGTCTTGTATATCACAAAAGGAGTATACATGCCATTATGTCAATAATAAATGAAATGGCGCAGGTAAAATGACATTTCCTCAGAAGCAGATAATCTCTTTTAAGTTTTGCTACTTCAGAGAACTATCAACATAACTTTACTTCTCAGAAGAGTTAAAACAAGAGACCTTGTCTCTAATTTGTTCCTTGTTTGTCTCATACTTACCAAGTAAATCATACACAACAAATGTTATTTTAATAAAAGGGCCTTCAGGTAGCAAAAGATGTAAACAAGGTTCAATAAACAGGAGGTTGTACACTAACAAAGTCAATAAAAAGAACAAAAACAGTAACTTGAAGCAAGATTGCCATTTGTACTTAACAATGCTGACTGTATGCACTCTTTCCAGTCATTCAAAATGGGGAAATGCCTGAGTTTTCTTTATTAGAAAAACTTTCAGCTGTATGGACATAGGTCAAATGTATGCCCCAGGCTTGATGGTGAATATGCTTTCTGAGTATGTATGAATTTAGAAAAACTAGTACACGCACATTGGCCACTCACACATTTCAAAAGCCATCCCCCGTCTGTCTTCCATTTAAAACATGAGAAGCCTGTTCATAAAGAATTGTCTAAAAATAAGAGCAGAAGTAGCACCAGAAAACAAAACATACAAGACATGTAACTCTTCAAATCCCGTCGTCTGCTCAGGTTGCCCCCAGTCACATGCCAAAGTATAGTAAGTAAGCCCGAGAAAAGCTTCTGATAAAAGCTACAGATGAAAATGAGTTAGTTCCTACACAGGACTATTCACCACAAAAGACCTGAGAGAGGAGGCAGTGACCACAGCTGCAATGTGACTGCCCCATCTCACAATGGCTTTATGGAATTCTAGGTCACAACTATTTGAGAAGTCCAGAGTCTACATATAAATTTCATTTATTTACATTCTTACCCTGTAGTTCACTGGGCATCACAAGTGGCTGAGATCAGATAAGCAGGTTTTCCTACCTGCTCACACACCAAAGGTAATTTTTCCAGGGACACAATTCCTACATAAGGAATGCTTACCAACCACTCATAATGGTAACATGTCAAATGGAGCCAATATGAAAAAATAACAAGAACAGAGTTTTAAACATACTTTTCTAGAGTGGCAAGCAGAGGATCTGGTTCAGTACTGTTCTGAATTTGTAACATCTGGTCTCTGCTCAGGCGAACAATTTCACAAAGTGACTGCGATGCATTTGAATGGCGCTAAAGGAAAAAAATACAGTTTTAACTATAAAACATGTCAGAAGTCAGATTTATAAAGGGAGGAAATTGCTTAAGAAATAACACAAATTAACAGTGGTCATAATAAGCTGTAGTAAAAAGTCAAGTTCAAAAGAAGTAACATGTAAAAAGCATGGTATCTTCTTCTGGCAGGCTAATGAACTTCACTTAACAATACTGCACAGTACCTATGAATATGTGTAGGGGATGGAATCAAAGTTCTGGCAAGGAAAAATTTCTACAATTGAATACTTGAAAAAAAAAACAGCACCAAAATTATATACTTTCATCAGCATACAGAGATGCACACACATCCATGATTTAGGGAGAAGAAAAAAGACAAATACAGCTTTCTGGAATATACCAACTGGTGAGCAATATCACAAATTCTCCCAGCGTGCAGTTGTTTACCTGACAGACGCTCTCAAACCTCAGCACTCAAACACGGTACCTCCAGCGGCATGCTGCACTGAGCATAACCGAGCATGCTGCCAACTGGGCAGTGTGTGCCCCGCACAGGTGAGACAAGGGTACTCCAGTACAGGTAGCACACGCAGCAGGGCATCAAAATCCACTGACGGGAATCAGGAGCCTACCATTTCCTTAATAAATATAAGCTGGTCAATGTGATTTCAGCACGATTTATACTTAAAACAGAAGTGTCAGCGGAACTGTCCAAAAGACAAAATTAACTTTTTTGCCCAGTCAAGTAGGGGAAGCACTGATGCCCAGATGCAATCGGCCTTCTCCTTTTTCAATTTCTCCCAGACCTGGCAGACAGGTGTACCATTCTATTGAGCATTCAAATTCTTCTGCTAGAGAACATGAATCTAGTAAGGAGTGACGCTCCTCCACGGACGTGCAGTCCCTGTGAATGGGGCAGGCCATACACCCATAACAGGGGAAGTGTGCTGGGGAACCACCAGTTCCCCTGGCCACATGAGGTGGGATCACTGCCCTACCTAGACCACAAGGTTCTCCTTAGTGGAGGCTCGCACACTGCAGCACCGACACGCATACATACTGGGATGTGCCCTGAATGTCAACAGTTAACACCACTGCAGGGGAGCACGTGCTGTATGGTCCCAAAAGCAAAGCCCCTTTAATGGTTGGCTCTTTTGTGGGGGTTTTTTGGCAGGGGCAGGCTGGGCGGCTGGGGAGGGACTTGTTTTAGATTAATTCCAGGTAGCAAACATTTTTGAATGGACCAAAGCAAAAGGGGCTAGGTCCATCTTAGAGAATTCATGTGAGAGAAAACCCTCTGGCTAGACCTTTCTTCCTTCACACTGTTTCTCATGCTCGCTCTCCAGTCTAACCTGCAACCTAGAGGTGTACGAGGGGGCCCCCCATGCCTCATGACATGCTCAGCATCTTCTTTAAACTAGCTCCTTCACAGATACTAGGTCGAGCCGCATGGCTGTCGCCTCCGTATCCCGGCAGTTCCATACATCTTGGCCCACTACTGAACGTGGCAACAAGAGGGGCAGTACAGAAGCGAAGTGATGGCCTCCTCTACAGAGGCACGCCGGCTCTTCCTGACGCCCCCAACCTGACAGGCATCTCTCAGCACAGAGCTCGGTCCACAAACCCCAGAGCAGCTTTAATCCTTTTGCCAGCTCAATCTTTAGCACCTGCGACAAAGCCAAACCTGTCAGAGCACAGAAGCCTGGGGCAGGGAAGTAGAACCGCCGAGAATCCGTCACCCTAGAGGTTCAGGCGTGACCAAGATCCTGCTGGAAAAGCTTTAGCCAAAAGAGGAAAAACAAATGCAGGTGTGGTCACATCATCCGGGCTAAAGATGGGTATAGACGAAAAAAAACGAAGTGTGGACAAAGGAGGATTGTAACAAAGGCAAGCTGATTCAGCAAAAAATCCCAGCTCTAGAAAGATGATGTGCTGTTTTCCACATTTCTGGAAATATTCTGGATATCAGCAAAATGTAGTATTTTTTAAAGCTTTCTGTTTTCAGAAAATTGTCAACTATTATCACTATTCTACCTGCCTTCTACCTTTGTGTTTCATACAATTATGCTCTGTGCCCAAATAAACATGGTTTTTTTTTTTTTAAATCAAGTTCACAGTCACACAAGAGAACTTACATCTTCTTCTTGCGATGGATGAACTATTTCCACAAGCCTCTGGATAATTTTCTCCTCATTTAACCACTGTAAAACACATTGTAGAAGTAATCATAGCAATGAGTGGCTCTTGTTCAAGCCCCAATGAAGATTAACATACTTGGAAATATCCATCACATTTTAAGTAGAATGTTACAGGTTTCTCTGGACTTTGAACACTACAGGAAATTAAAAGTTCCCCAAGGAAAATGCCAGTGAATATATTATTTTAATAGTCAACAGTAACAACTACTCCCCAAATTACAATACCCCTATACAAAAACCTTATGCATAGTCATGGGATAATTTTCAAACACTGAGAACTAAAGGGTCTGCATTTTTGTTACTAAGGGGAATTTGTGTGTGTGTGGATGGGGTGGCTATAAAAAGGGTGGAATTTATACATTTTCTGTAAGAGAGTATTCACATTAAGAGAGCTTTATTCAGGAAGACTGAGAAAAGCAGTATTTAGATCAAGTGCCTGGATTAACACACATGACAAACTTTTAGACCCCAAAGCCACCTCTGCTACAGGAGACGTGGGGCTTGGCGGACAGGGGGCACCAGAGAAGCAAAATCCCTCTCCTGTTACATGTTAGTAAAGAGCTATTATCATGACCAGGACAATCTCTTCTTCATCTACATAGGAAACATTGCCATGAATGAAAACATGAAGGGGATGAGAAAAAGAATTAATGAAAAATCAGCTGGTGGAACACCCATCCCACAAGGGCCAGAAACAACATAATAAACAAGATGCTCACCGCCTAGGAAAGCATGCCAAAAACATCCCTAAGGGTAAGGGGGAGGCCGGTGGGCAGGGGCCAGATGGCAAGACAGCAACAGTCTGCCAAAGGCATCACTGTCTCTAGATGAAGGAAACTGTGCCAAAAGAAAATGCAAACCAAAGCTATCAGGAGAGCACCACAAAGGCAGAGACCTGACTTTACATGTTAACATCTGTCTTAAAATGGGCACAGGAATCACCCTCCCAGGGATTCTTACTAAAATGCAGACTGGTTCAGTAGAGCAGGGGTGAGAGCTAAGGTTGTGTGGGTCTCTAACAAGCTCCGGGGGATGTTTGGGAGCACACCTGGAGTAGCAGTGTCCTGAGACAGAGGCCGCTAACACCTGTACAGAAGGGTGGGGCAGAGGGTTCTGACCACCCCAGGGGAAAACAGGAAGCTTTGTGGGCAGTGAACCGATTAGCCCCCCACACCTACTGCCTCCGCAGCTATTATCAAGCACCTACATTCAAGCCCACTTTTGGACTAATCCTCCCATGTTTGGCCCCCAAGTCAAAGTAAGACATTTAATTCAGGAGTTTCTAACTACCCTCCTATCTAGGCCTTTACCAACTACCTATCACTATATCCCTCCAGAAGCCAATCCACTCCTTTGAAAATAGTCCCTAAAATTCAACCCAGAAATGACCAAAGCAATTCTAATAACTGAATAACTGCTCCCTGTAATAACCTGAATATAAAGGTGGCCCTCCCCCTTGTCCTCAAGACTTCCCTGGAATCTTTTATGTCCTCTGAGAAAAGACTCATATTCACAAAACACACCTAAAAGGAACCAGTGTCTCAATTAGGGTCCCTACACACAGGCAAATCCTAGGACATTCACTGGGTACACTCAGCCATCTTCTCATACAACAACCATGGTTCCCAGTCAGCCTTTGCCCGGTTCTACAGATTCAGCCCACCCCATGCCCAGATTCTTCCACTCACACAAACACATGCCCTGGTACACCTGCCCACCTCAGCAGAACAGGCCCTTTTCTGGATCACCACCTGGCAGAACCTCCTGTCTCTCCTTCTGGTCCTTCAGGGTTCTTATAATCAAAATGGGCATTTTCAATAAAACTAATGTCCAGAGAATCAAGTTAAGTTCTAAGATTTGAGGCTGGGTATCAAATATGGGACAGACCGGGGAATGGAAGAAGGCAGGAAGAGGGGGCAAAGGTGAGAGCCCGTGAGAAACCTCACCTCCGGTCACACGCACACTCTCCCCGCTCCCCGCCAAATCCCGCCTGAGACAGCTCTTTAAGAGGCACACGTATCCTAAAAGAGTCATCCCCCTTTTTTGGAAGTAAACTCCATTCTCTTTCCTATCCCACGCTCCTGGCTACCTATAAGAAGAAAGTTACCACCTCTGACACCTTAGTCCCTGGAAATACTGACCCCTCTCCTTCAGAGACAACCCTGAAGGGAGACCATTTTCTTAAGAAAGAAGACTCAAAAGTACTCTCTAGTGAGATGCACAAGCTCCCAACCTTCTTCTTTCTGCTCTTACCACCAGGCCAGCTTTAAGACAAATTCTCAAAACACTTTCTACCTTGAAAACAAACCAGTAAAGGAAGAGAACCCCTCACAAGGAACATCCCCAGCAACTAGGGATGCGTCCATCTGGAATCCTAATCCTGAAAAATCTGACTGTCCTCCTATCTCAGACAAGCCTTCCCTCCCCACCTTCTCCCTGCCCCCCATTTCCCAGACAACTTCTAACACCAATCTCCTGGAATCCCGCCCCAGCACGCAGCAGCCCCAGTGGCTTGGACGCTGCTCCCACCCCATCAGCGACAGTCGTAATTCTACTCACATTCAGCACATCTTGCCTGGGCTGTGGAGGCTCGATGCATGTCAGGAGCCTGAGCAACAAATCCATGATAGCCGAAGTTCCTATGTGCTTTATAATAAGGTCTACAAAATCACGTTTCTTCTTTAAGAAATCCACAATCTAAAGGAGAACAAACCAATACTGAAAGACACGTGACTTGGGAACTATAAACTTTAGAATGCTTTCAATCCTGGCCCCTCTAACTGCCCCTTCCAAAATCCCACTGCCACTTTAAGCTGAAAAATAGCAAATGCTGAAGCAGTAATAAGATGTCAAACTGGAAAGTCTGCTCATACTTCCAATATTCAAAGATACCTTAGAAAAACATGCCCCAAATTATTATACACCCCCTAATACAAATATACCATAGCAGAATCTTTTAGTTCTGTTCACTTTCATTATTAATGCTCAAAGAATGAGGATAAAAATTTAATATCCTATTAAAAGCAAGAAAATGTACCATGTAACAGTTTATGGACATGAAGCAAGTCCATTAGACTTTGCATTAAATGAAGAATAAATATTCAAAATTGTAAGTCTACTCTATCAAGTAAGGGGGGGAAAATCACAAAACAGATGTCTCTATCAGTCCACGTGGCTGGCTAACTTACCTGCTAGAAAAACATCACATTTGGATTTCACTTCAGCAACTCACCTGATTAGGTCAACACAAGGAGAGTGAGTGTGGAGGAGGCTGATAGCCCCCCAAGGGGATATGAGAACACTACTGAGGTTCCAGCTGCTACCTGGGAAAAAGATGGAGACTGTTCTGTCCCGTACACCCTTGTGTACCTCCTGATTTGTCTGTGGGCACAAGTCATCTATTTGAAAGTCCCAGGAGCATGTCCATGGGGCAGCTGCTCTAACAAAGTCTCACTGAAGTCTCTCAAAAGCCTGTGAGGTGGGGCTGCTTCCCTCGGTGATACAGATGAGGGAACCAAGGCTCAGAATGGTTAAGTAGCTTGGTAGAGCTAAAAGTGGCTTCCCTGAGATTTAAACTTATAAGATTTGTGTGCTCCCAAAGCCACGATCCTGCCACTCATTATCCCACATTAAGAAGTCTAAAAGCCACAGATGACAACTAAAATTGCTTCACAATCAGGTGTAAATGAAGAAAAAACCATCACACGTTGCCTCTCTATAGACAGTGAGGTTAAATGTTGTAATATAAACCTTCAAGAAGTTATGCATAATTAATCTGCTCACAACTGAATCACACAGTTTTTAAAAGCCTTAGAGGAGGGAGGAAAAAGCCACACGGGCCCCAAATTACTGCATGATTCAGTGGCGAAAGCACCGGACCGGAAGCCCAACAGCACAAGTCGCAGCCAGTGCGGTGGGAAGCACAGCAAGGACAGCGAATGCCCCATATGGAGGACGACCCTGCTGAGGCGCTGGACTGCAACACCGAAGGCCCTAAAGCTGGACTCCTGCTCCGCACACGATTCAACATCTGTATTGGTCAGGCCAGACTGAGTCTGAAGTCTTTCATTACTTCTAGCTGCTATATCCTTACTAACATATCATGTGCTGGGAAACCCTTATTTACATTTATAATTCTCAAAAGGAGAGAGAGGTGACAGGTGTGACCTTTTCCTGAAGAGAAAAGAGCAAGGGCCACTGAATCCTCATTTCCATTCAGAGTCCTGAACCAGGAAGCACAAGTGACAGAACGACTGGGTCCTGTTGTCAGTGTTTAATAGGCATGTGCCATCTTTGCACAAAAAGATGGTCTCCAATGAGACAAATGGAAGTACTCAGAGTCCCAGAGAGCTTCAAGTGTATTCTTGCTCGACAGTAAAGGCACATGGAAAACCGGGACCCAAAATTTGGGTCCCTGTAGCACAGAGTAAGGAGAGAGAGCATGCTGGAAGGTGTCAGACCCATCTTGATAACTGCAACCATCTGGAAATGACTAGTAACTTAGGCTGCTGGGATGACTTGCACTTTTCTAAAAGAGCAGAAATGTCATTTCTCATCAGAAGGCAGAAGAAGGAAAGACGTTATATTAGAGTAATCATGACTTGGGGATTATCATTTAAGAAAAAAGAACCTCAATTACAATACATTTAGGAAGGCACTCCTGCTTAATTAAGAACATGAAAGAACGATCTTGTCTTTCTAAAATAAAACATGTATCCACTTCGCCTGGCACAGGGCGGAAGTACTGAGCCTAAAATAGTTTCAGTCCCTTTATGTCTGCTGATGGCAAGGACAGGTCACGGAGCCTGCTTTCCACAGTGAAGGATGCCAGGCCTGCCAGTTGGCCCCCTGTACCATCATCACACCCTTGCTCGCTGCACTCTGGCAGGTCTGTTAGTTTGTAACAGGCTCCCGCTGCTCCCTGGGGGTCTACTGCCATAAGTGGACCATAATCTGGTAAGCAGATCCTTTTCACACTAATATCCACCAGAGCAGTGGTCCTCAAATTTCAGCATCAAAGTCAGGAGGTGTGGGGTGGGGCTCAAGAACTTGCATTTCTAAGAAACTGTCAGGTGGTACTTGCATACTGCTGTCCAAGGACCACGCTTTAAGAACCACAACACATCCAACAGATATTTGGAAAATAAACCTCTCAAGTACGTCTGAATTGTTTATGAACAAAACCAAAGGAACTGCAGGGGGCAGGCAAGGAAGTGGTGACCAACCAGGAGGAGTGCCTGCCATCACAGCAAGCACCCCCGCCAGGGGAGCAGAGCCCTGCAGGCAGGCGACAGTCTAGACCCAGCTGTCTCAAGCTGAACACTAAAGTTTCTGCGTGGAATCAGAACAGAAATAATCACCACCTGTATAAACCAATCATCACAAATCGTATCAGTGGCCAGCTTTTTTGATTAAAGCTTCGTTTGTGAGCATTAGTGGAGAGAAAGAATAATAAACGAGTGTCATTTCACCAGAGTCCCTAAGATTCCACACACACATGCGAACTGCTCAGCAGGCACCGTGAGCCATCCTCACAAATGCATGCCTGAGAGCCTCCTGCAGCTACCTGTCAAAAGAAGAAACCAAGTATACTAAAAAACTGAGATGTGAGGCCCTTAGAAAATAATACGTCAAATTAGAACATATTTACCAGGGTGTATATCAGGGTTAAGTCAAGTGAGCACTCAGAATGTCTAAGGTTTAAAATACATTCTTTCATAGAACATGGACTTCAGGCACACTCAGAACACTGAAGCAATAAATTACTAGGGGATCATCTCAGGGGGATGATCAGCCCTAATACTTACCTCTGGAAAATAATATTTACCTGTTCTGGTTTTCTGCTGATAAGAATACTTAGCACCTTGCTGAAGAAACTGGCAAGTAGTGGGTTCAGGGGGGGATCATTTAGGAGGAAGCTATATAATTTCATTAGCAAGGATTCATCTTCTCCCAGTCTATCATTCATCTGGGAGACATCAGAAGTGAGCAACTCACAAGATATATTTGGATACCTAGAAGAACAGGATACTTAAATCATAATCCATATCAACAGTTAAATTACATAAAGTACAACACAAATCAAAAAGGCTTCCTAAAATTTTGTGAAAAATAACAAAATCTGGGAATTAGAAAATCAGTTCAATCCATTCTGTCCAACCTCTAGATTAATGTGACTTTTCTAACTGGGTCTAAAAAATTGTTTCTAAACCAAGCTTTAATAGATTATGAATACATTTTCCCCCAAAGAAACCAGAGCACACCTAGTACTTGGGAGCCAAGGAGGTCATGCGGCAGGGCGAGGGCTTCTCATGCAAGGAGAGCTGGGCAGGTAAGAGCCTGGGGCTGCAGCCATCAGCAACCTACTCTGGCATGGAAAAATGGTGTGACTTGGAGGATAACCAAGGGGCAGCTTCCATGATTCCAGGTAACTGCACTGCACGCAGCACCTGGCAACTACTCAAGACCCGTTCAGGTTCCTAAACCAGCTGCCTCTATTTCACATGGGTTACAGATGGTTCTGGGAAGTTGTTTGGGGGGCTTATCACGTGTTCGGTCTGTATTACATCTTGAGAGAATAAATACTCTTGATACACTTAAGTGAAGAACAGGACACTGGCCTGGGTTACCCAGGTGGGAAAAACAACACAAAAAATGAGTTGTCCGTGCCTGCCTTCCAAGATCTTTGGGGATCAGCCATCTGATCTCACTGCTACAGGACACAGACCTCTTCTACAGACCCCAGACCCCACAGTCCTAGAACTACACCTGCACCCCTGAAGCATGCTTGCCAGACCAGATCACATTCTCTGAGAACTAGGCAGCCAATCCAGTTCTCCGCTCTTTACCAAACAATTTCTCCTGTTTTCAAAACCAACAGTGAAACCTCAGTCACTCTCCCTGACCCACAGTAGATTTCTCTGATCTTTATTCCTCTTTGTTGAGTGGCTGGGATCCGGAACCACCTAGTCATCAGGAGTGGCAAGTTGAAATGCTAACCAGGACAGGAAGGTGACCAAAACAGCCAGAAGCGGCTGTATGACGAAGAGAGGTGAGGACTGTGGGCCGGAACACATACAACACACCTCAAGGCCTCCGAAACAAGCTAGTGGTTGCCTAGTTTGAGGCCCCAGACTCAAGAAGCAACTGGTAACAGACCAGAAAGCCACAGCACTAAAGAGGGTCTGGCGTAGGAGGCTCTGAACAGTAGAATGCAGAAAAATGAAACTGTTGGAGGAAAAAATACTGAAAAGGAAGTCAACAGAAATGGCATATGTGTGGGCAGAGAGATCACACTTCCAAATAGCTGTCCCCTGGAGGCTTAGCACTCAGGTAAATTACAGCTTCCTCCCTGTATGGACCACATGGGCTCAGAGATGCCACAACATAGTCACCACCATGCTGGGGGCAGGAGTATGCAGCGGTCACAGGTACGGCTTCTGGAGCCACATCATCTAGGTTCAGAACCTGTTTCTACCACTTACAAGCTGTATGACCTTGGGCAAGTTACTTAACCTCTCTGGGCCTCAGTTTGCAAGTTTTAAGGCAATATTCCAATATTAAGACAACAGTCCTTACCTCAAGGGGGAGGATAAAACATACAAAATCTTGAAATTTTTGAATGCTGAGATAAATGAATGCTGTTTTTTTATTTGTCTGCATTTTTGACTTTTTAAAACTGCTCAAATGCTCCTATGGGGCTTAGTTGTCTCAATGGCCCCAATTTGACAGTTGCTGGCAAATACCAGACTGGTAAAAGGCAGCAGACCTCAAGCCCGGCTGCAAACCCCACGTGCAGGGCATGTTCTCCAAATTCCAGCAGAGAAGATCCAGAGGAAAGCACTGGCATCTCGGAAAGTTTCTCCTTAATTTTCCCCGTTTCCATGACGACTCCAAGGAACAATCTAGCTAAAGAAGCATACACATGGGGCCTAGGCACTATACAAAAGGCTCAAAGTCCTGGTTCTGGACTGGCCGGGGCTACTCTCTCTCTCCCTCCCTACCTCCTACCACTAAACAAGCTTATGAAACACCCAGGGACACCCTCCCCTCCACCCCACAGCAAGGCCTTTCCTCCCCCACCACTGCAGGCTCTGACCTCAAGTCCCCTGTACTGAGAATGCAGAAGAGAACTGCACCTGGCCCCGTTCTCTCCCACACAGAGCCATTCTTACTCCTAAAGCCATCCCTCCACGTGTCCTCTTGATCACATTCCCTCCCACCTACGCAAGCACAGCACATGGCTGGGTCACCTACGCTCTCTGCAGAGCCACACTGCATCATTCTCACCTTCATATAAACATACCATCATCATTTATTTCTTCCATCTAGGAAATAAAACCAGCACCACCCCTCTCCTGACTCCACATCTGCCTACAGCTCCCACTTTCTCTGCTTCCTGTCTAGGAGACTACTCGAAAGAACCGCCCCTGGTTTGTCTCCAATCCTTCCTCGAGAAGGCATTTCAGCCAGGAGCTCACCTCACCACTCGGAGAACCTGCACTGATGGGGCCTGTGCGCTCCGCACTGCGAACACCAGTGGCTGCTTGGCCTGTGGGCGGCAGCCCCCAGCCCACTGTCCCATCTTTCCCCTTCCTGGAGCCTCTCTCCCCCTAGCCTTGTGGGGGCAGCCCTCCTGGCTCTCCTTGTGGTCTAGCCACCCCAAGGGCCCTCTGTGAGAACCACAACCCCACCTGCAGCATCTTGGCTTTTGGATTTATTCTACTACTTGAGGACTTATTTTTAAAGTTCTGTTAAATTCAAATTTCTGCTAAATTATTTACGACAAAGGCATCTGTCACTAAGATGGAAGGGGTTAATATAAAATGACTAACCTTTAATACTTCACATATGATCACTGAATTAAGTCAAAACAGTGACAGATTCAAGTCACATGTGTAACTAATATACAGTTATGAAGTTCACAGATGTAGGAATCTCTCCATCATTCAGAAACTATAAAACACTAAGTTTTCTTTACAGTCAACTTTAACCTTGAAAAGCTTTCAGATCTCATCTAAAAAACCCCTCTATGCTAACCCAGCTGTTCAAGCTGTATCACACACAGCTGGTGGCCCTGTCCAGGCCACAAGAGCAGCAGAGAACTGATCTGCCCAGCTCGAGTCACGCTCCCTTGAAAGGTGCCAACCAGAAGGCCATGTGTCTGGGAGGCATACCTGCTTTTTCAGCCTCAAAGGCAGCACAAAAAAAGCTGGCATTGTAACAAAAGCCACAAGGCTTCGAGAGATCAGCACTTCCTACAGGCTACGCTGCCTGCTCTTCCCCAGCGAAGGGGCTTTTAGCTTCATTCAGCATGTGAGGAAACAGGCCCGGAAGGGCTCAAGCTCAGAGCTTCTGGGGGGGGGGCGGGGTCAGGGCGGCATGTCACATGCCTCCCAGGGGGGCCCACTGCAAAGCCCACACAGCACACTGCCTCCTACCAGGATGAGCCCTGTGACAGGCAGCCCCCCCAAGTGCTGGCTCACCACAAGAGAATGCCAAAGAGGCAAAGCGCCTACCTCTCGGGGGACGGGAGCACACTGGCACTTTTGCCCAATTTCTTTCCTTTTTTTTTTTTAAGGCACTGCTAAGCAGAGGCTGTCACTGAATGCTAGTTGTCAATCTTAACAGCTGGCAAAGAACACGACTTTCTTGAAGATCCAAGTCACCAGCAACGTAAAAGCATTAATAAGTATTATATCCCTGATAGCAAATTTTCCCCTCAAAGAAATGAAAGGATATCTGAAATGAGGAACTGGCTGGGGAAAAAAGGGCAAAGGATAATCTACTAAAAGACACAAGTCCTCCCTATTCCATGAAGTTTATTAAATGCACAATCAATGATTTTTTCTTCCTGAATCTGTTCTGCAGGGAGTGGGGGGAGTCAAGTATTTCAATAGAGTTGAAAATGGAAAAGCAATTAACTGAACCCTAATACTTTAAATACATACAGAACATTCATGAAGAGTTTCCAGGGGTCTGTATACAAAGTGCTATAAGAGACCATAACAAAGGACTCCCCTTGTATTATACTGTTCTGCTCATAAGCAGATGAAACTCAGTAGAAGCAGCCATATCCACTGTAGTTATTCAACGTGTTACCTGCTTAAATTTAGCTACACCAACGTTCACCAAGACCCATACCCTTTATTTTCAGTTAACAAAAAGTTCATTGAATTTATTTTATGAACAACGCTCTTCTTAAACCCCAGCTCTGGCTTAGATTTGTTGCGTGATCTTAGGTAGTCACAACATCTCTATCTTCCTATTTGCAAAGAAGAGGAAATACTTACTCGGATCCTCCTACTGTTTTTAGAAACTTCCTCACTGTTTATAAAACACTTCACCCTTCCACAAAACCTTCTGACTGAAATTCAGATCACTCATTTAAAAATCTTGTGATTTCGCCAGGCTCAGCTCTAAAATGGATTCTGTGCTCCGCTGAGCCCGTTACTCTTGGCCATCTTACCATTTCTTAAGTGGACAGAACAGCCCTGGGGACTGCTGGGCGACAAAAATGGTAATACTCTACCCCAATGTGCTTTAGTCCCACCCTGAGAGAAGGTTGAATTTTCTTACTTGTATCTGATCTTTTCATCCATGTCTTGAGGTGGTTCTTCTATAATGAATGAGACTAAGTCTTCGAGACATTCTGCTTTTAACAGAAACTCTATAAGTTTGCGGTTCTGAGCTTTACATTCCTGTAAAACATCTTCCTCATCCATTAATTCCTTCAGTGTTACATCTTCTCTTTCTAGAAGTGTGTCTATGTGGGATGATGAGTGAAGATCAAATTTCCAAAACATGCTGGTCTAAACAAAACGCAGAGAGTATTTCAAATAAAACTTCAACTTCACATATCAATTTTTCAAATTTCAGCCTAGTTTCACAGATTAATATGCCAACTTGGTCACATAAGTGAAGTAAGTTTCACACTGAACCTATAAAATACTCTCTAAATAAGTAGTCTTTTTCTCCTCAGAAAATATTGTTAACAAAAAACTTGAAAATGCTAAAAGAAAGCTAAAACTTGGGATGATTTTAACCTGTAAAATTAACCCATCCATACTTTGTTAAGATTTTAATGCTGGGAAAGGAAGAAAATAAACCCTTTTTAAGGGTGAAGAACACATTCTCACACAGAACTAACATGTTCAGCAACATGCGACAAGTATTGAGCCCTGAATACTCAGCACACTTGAGGAGACCACCAACAAACCAGCAGTCGTAGCTTCTGACAGCACTTTCACAGTCAGAGGTTTGAAAGTCATAAAGTGGTAAAAATCTGTGCCATTCTAATAAAGAAACTAAAAAACTGGAACCTAATTCTTGAGAAATTACAGAAACCAATTCTCCTCAGTTACCAGGAAAAACATTTGACAATCAATAGTGCCAAACACACGCTCTTCCTTCCTCTTCCTCCCACCTTTCCACAATGAAAACAGTTTTTCTTCAAAGAGTTAAAGAAGGTCCTTAAAGTCACAACTAGAGATAGGAAACATGGGGTTCACTATATTATCTAATGCTGCCATGACAAGACAATTTTAAAGGCCTCTTTCAACCAACAGATGACAAGATGATGGCATCAAACAAGTCCTGCTTAGGGACAGGACCACTCAAAAATCATTCATATCTATCAAACATGCTCACAGCAGAATTCCTGAACCAGGGTTTGGTAAGACAAATAATGTAACCCCAAAAGTGAAGCCTACAGATCAACTGCAGCTTCACTATCTGCCAGTGAAGTGGCTCTTGTTACCATTACACCAAGAAGCATGTCAATACCCACACGCTCATTTAAAATCCTGTGCTGGAAGAGGCTAGGTTAAAGGGAAGGAAGCTGCCAAAGGTCATAACCTATGGTGTAGCACACATTTTTAGAAATACATATTTTGCTAAATCCACCCATATTAGGAAATCAGGTAGGAATATACTGATTTGGCATTTTCATGAACATTTGCTCAAAATAACATTTTTTAAAAGAGCGATCATGGAGGGCAAAATTTATTTACACCACTAATCATACCAGTGAATCAGGAATAAAGACAAACTGGGTAACACGACAGGTTCCTCGGGGTGCATGGCAGTGCAGCTACCTCACCTGACCTCACTATGAACATAGTGTTTAAAATATAAGCAAAGTTTTAAGAAAGCTAAAAAAAAAAAAAAAAGACCCTGTAAGAGAGCAAGTTTTAGGTAAGGTTATGAAACAGTGTTATAAAAGTTGTCCTATTTAAAAATATCTTTAAACGTTTCAAAAGACATATATGGCAACAGGTTCACATCAATTATAGCAAGAGGACCAAGACATGGTTAGGGATCAGACACTACCATGAAGGTTCTCCCAGACCCGACTGGCACCGCCTCACTCAGGAGCAAGAGGAACCGGGACGTGGAACTGCTGGTGTTCACAGAGAAGCTCAGTGGGAGGACACAAATACAAGGCATGGCTGTCTCCTTCCTCTTAATGATCTGGCCAGTAATTATGCAGAGAAGACATTGTAGAACATGCTAGAAAAGCAGCAGCACAACTCCCAGCAAGGTCAAGAAGCACCCCCACCACTAGGCTAATAAGCGACCTCTCTCCTCCCAGACAGGGAACAGGCAGAGGGCCCAGGGGGAGCTGTAACACATTTGCTAGTAAAAGAAACAAACATATACTTCAAACCCAAGAGTAACCTGTTCCCACTTGTAAGGCAATGCCAAAGGAAATAAGGGCAGGGATGATATACACCTAACAAGAAAGGAACTTTGGGGAAAAGGACAGTAGAAATAAATTACAGACACAAATGCTTTTTTGGTTTTCAGACTTGTAAAAATGGCAAACAAAAAAACCTTTATTAGGCCATTTAACCTATTAAAATTGACAGGGAGAAAAACAAAGCAAAAAGATTCCAAAAGATAACTCCAAAGAAGGAAAGGGAAAAAGCAGGTTTCCATCCCTGCAAAGAAGCAGGCCCTAGTCTGGGCACCAAGCAGCATGGTCGGCAGAGTCTGCAGTGCCTCTGTTAGAGCAATGCGGCTCGTACATCTCTGGGTTTTCTAATCACAAATTCTGAAGAGAAGCCTATTTATCGTTTCCTCACACTTAGTATTAAAGCATGTGATGAAAACTCTCGTGAATATAAATATGAGCAACTTTTTCATGAACGTATCTCCTTGGGCAAGGGTAACAAAAGCAAAAATGAACAAGTGGGACTATATCAAACTAAAGAGCTTCTGTACAGCAAAGGACACCATCAGTAGAACAAAAAGGCAGCCTACAGTATGGGAGAATATATTCATAAATGACATATCCGATAAGGGGTTGACATCCAAAATGTATAAAGAGCTCACGTGCCTCAACACCCAAAAAGCAAATAACCTGATTAAAAAATGGGCACAGGATCTGAACAGACACTTCTCCAAAGAAGAAATTCAGATGGCCAACAGGCACATGAAAAGATGCACCACACTGCTAATCATCAGAGAAATGGAAATTAAAACCACAATGAGGTATCACCTCACACCAGTTAGGATGGCCAACATCCAAAAGACAAACAACAACAAATGCTGGTAAGGATGCGGAGAAAGGGGAGCCCTCCTACACTGCTGGTGGGAATGTAAATTAGTTCAACCATTGTGGAAAGCAATATGGAGGTTTCTCAAAAAACTCAAAATAGAAATACCATTTGACCCAGGAATTCCATTCCTAGAAATTTAGCCAAGGAAAACAAGATCACAGATTCAAAAAGACATATGCACCCCTGTTTATTGCAGCACTATTTACAATAGGCAAGAAAAGGAAGCAACCTAAGTGTCCATCAGTAGGTGAATGGATAAAGAAGATGTGGTACATATACACCATGGAACATTATTCAGCCACAAGAGGAAAACAAATCCTACCATTTGCAACAACATGGATGGAGCTAGAGGGTATTATGCTCAGTGAAATAAGCCAGGTGGAGAAAGACAAATACCAAATGAATTCACTCATCTGTGGAGTTTAATAAAGCAAAAACTGAAGGAACAAAACAGCAGCAGACTCACAGAATCCAAGAATGGACTAGCAGTTACCAAAGGGAAAGGGACTGGGGAGGGTGGGTGGGAAGCGAGGGATAAGGGGATCAAGAGGTATTATGATTAGCATATATAATATGGGGGGGGGGACAGGGAAGGCAGTATAGCATAGAGAAGACAAGTAGTGACTCTGTACCATCTTACTATGCTGATGGACAGTGACTGTAATAGGGTATATGTGGTGGGGACTTGGTAATAGGGCAGAATGAAGTAACCACAAAGCTGCTCATGTGAAACCTTAGCGTTAGATTGTATATCAATGCTACCTTAATAAAAAAAATTAATAAATAAAAATAAAAATAAAGCGTGTGATGACTTACATGGCTGTGTTCAGCATAGGGCTCCTATGCACAGCACACACAGGCAGGCTGTTCAGAGGCCGAGCATAGGGTAACCCATGCTGTTCTTTAAAGGTAGAGCTCTCACTTACTGATGTGGAGGATAATTTTAAAGATGTCCAAAAAACTAAACATCCATTAAGTCCACCCTCTCTTAAGTTAATCATGGAAATTTTGATCCTACGATGTCTAAAGATTGACAAATAGTTCATTTTACCTCTCTTAAATACTTCAGCAAGGTCCCTAACTGAAAAGCTATCAGGCATATTCAAACACCTTCCCACACCCATACCCCACAGCCCATACCCCAGTGTCATCAGGCATGTACTTATTTTGGTCTGCAAGCCAAATTTCTGATAACGTAATAGTCTTTCCAATAGAAGTCAGAAAACTGGACATGGTTAATAATTTAGCCTGAATTTTTTTTAAAGACATAGTTCCCATTTAAAGTGGAATGTCTTTTTATCTTCTGTAATTCCATATATAAAGGCAAAGTATAATGAAAAACACTAAGAAATAAATCATACACACAAAATCTGATTATCAAGCCCTTAATATTGGCTAATTATAGACAAGATGTACATTCACATCCATGAAATAGAAATTATAAATGTCCACCAACTAGATAAAGGCATACTTCTAAATATGGACCAGATATAATCCTATCTATCTCAAGTAAAAACTGACTTCCAATATCTCAACTTATAAAAATAACCCCTTAAATACAAAACTGGTAATTAGTCATGACGAAATAAAAGCAGGAATTGGCAAACTGCAGCCCACAGATCAAATCCAGCCCACAGACTGCAAGGGAAAAATGGTTTTGATATTTTTAAAGGGTGGTTTTAGGAAAAAAGCAGTGTATGTGACAGAGACCATATGTGGCCCACAAAGCCGAAAATATTTACTATCTGGGCTTTTACAGAAAAAGTTTAGCATCCATTGCTAAAGCCTCCTAACATTAATTTTCCTCTCTGCTATCTCTGAATTCACATGGGCATGCACCCCAGGTCTTTGCAGCCTGCTGGGCAAGGTGTGCCTTGCATTGCCAGGCAGGACCATCTACAGATCCAACTCCCTTCCTTGGGCACTCACGGAGACTGTGTTCTCAACTTCTCGGGCATGTAGGTATGGCCATGTGACAATGCGTTCTCCAATGTGCCGTGAAGCCTAAAAACCTCCACGCTCTGTCCCCTGCATCTGGCTGGATGCTCATAACAAAAAAGGCCCTAAGGGACAGCAGAGCCAAAAAATGGAAGGCATTGCCACCCCCAAACTGCCACATGGAGGGAAGCTGCCCTTGAACCAGAGAACCTGCCTTAGGCTGTGTTCTGCTGAGCCCTCATATACACCGCTCCAGCACTGTGGTCTACCTGACCAACCAGCTCCTCTCTTCCCAGAATCCTGGGGCTTCC